TGCTTTTTTTGTTACTATGGCTTTGTAGCATAATTTGAAATCAGGAATTATAATGCCACCTACATGGCTTTTTTTGTTCAGGATTTCTTTAGCTTTTTAAAGGTACCTTGTACTTTTGAATTTTACAATTGTTTTTTCTATTTTCTATAGGATGTTGTGATTTTTTTTTTTGTACCAGGAATCGAACTCAGGACTTTGTGCTTGCCAGGTGTTGTGATATCTTGAGAAGGACTGTGTTCTTTTCATTCTTGCCCCTTTCTGAAAGAGTTTAGGAAATCCTTTCATGTATATCTTTAATTGTGTTACTGTGGCTTTCTCAATGTCTTGAACTGATTCAAAACATTCACCTTTTAAGGTCATTTTGACTTTGGGGAAAAGTCAGAAGTTGCACAGGTCTGGCAGTGTAAATTGGATGACAGCACACCTGCCTTTCCATTGAATGGTACTTGGCAGCAACATTCACTATATTTTGAGGGGGATTTATAGAAATTTATCTTTTATTGTAGTAAATATTTTAGAAAATTTAAACATTCATGCCTTGTACAGAGTATTCCACCCAGACAGTAAGCTGAATAATTTTTTCAAGTGCACATGAAGTATTCTGCAGGGTAGACTACATGTCAGATCACAAAGCAAGTTCAGTATATTTATAAAGACTAAAATTGTACAGATTACCTTCCATAACTACAATGGAAGAAAGCAAGCTAGCAATAACAAAAATGGAAAGTTCATAAACAAATGGAATTAACATGCTCTTACTCAGTGGAATAAAGAAGAAAACACAACTGAAATTAGAAAACACTTTGTAATTGATTAACTTGGTTAGGGTTTTCTAGAGAAACAGAAGCAATATAAAGTGTATGTGTAAAATAAAAAAAAAAGGGAGGGCGCTGGGGTCAGCGGCACAGCACCTGCCTGGCAAATGCGAGGTGGTGAGTTCTATTCCCGGTAACGGAAAAAAATAAAAATAAAAAAATAAAGTGTATGTGTGATTATACAAGATCAGAAGCTAAATAATTACAATGACCTCTGTGGAATCAGAGGCAAAAGAATCCAAAACAGCAGTCTGTGTGCTGGGGAACTGGAGAACTCAGTAGTAATTGAAGGTGAAGGCTTGAAAGCTCACTGTAGAATTGTTGTGGGAAAAACTGAGTCAACAGTAGCCAGGAGCTCAGAAGAAGAGAGGAAATTTTGCTGATGCTAGTGGGCTCCAGAGCAGTAGTCTCCAAAGTCGGAGGCACTGATTACAGAGAGCTTATCTTATTTATAGTGTGGTAAACAGAAGTTACAAGAATGAGACAAGCTTTTAGCTGAAGGCTATGGTACAATGGGTATCTTGTGGTGAGCATAGTTGTATGTAGCAAAGTTGTTTTTAGCACATTCACAGAGTTTCAATTTGATGACAAAGCTTATGATTTAGTTGAGTTCAGTGGGAGAGAACAGAATGACTGCAGGTTTATTGAACAAAATGGCTGCAGTTAGGTCAGGATTTCTGTTTCAGAGTCACTGGTGTAAATCTGTGTTAGAAGACCAAAGAGTCTGCCCTGGAAGGCTGAAGAAACTGTCCACAGGCAATGGCAAAGACTGGAGCCCCTCCAAAACAGGAACACTTCCTTCATTTTTCCCTGTTTATTTCCTTCAAACTATAAGCTCACTGGTTGGTTCTACTCAGATCTCGGGTGGGTACCATTCCTCAGTTTTCTGGCCTGTACGTCAACCATCCAGAGACACATTTAGAACTTCGGTAATGTATTAGGTGGTTATTCAGGTCAAACTCACATGTCGCCATTAGTGATCACACTGATTAAATGAGAATGCCACATACCAAGACCTTCTGGAATGCAGTGCATGGATGCTCAGAAGGAAATTTATAGCTGTAAAACCTACATTAACAATGAAGAAAGATCTCAAACTAATAATCAAACTTTACATCTCAGAGAAGTCAGGACAAACTGAACCCAAAGCTGGAAGAAAGAAAAAAATAATAAAAGATGAAAGAAATGGAGACTAGGAAAGACCAGTGCTAGCTTTATCTCTTCCCTTTCCGATTTTTTGATGTATGATTTCTTTTTCTCACATTAATTTCTCTGTCAGAACTTTTGGGAAAAGCTGTCCTTACAAACAGATATGATCATGAATTGAATGCAAGAGTACAGTTGAATTGAATTGAATGGGATGGGATGCAGGAGTCTAATTTCCAGGTTGTCTTCCTAAAGCCAAAGCTGTTATCATCTCCTTTTCCACTGGATGAGATGTAGATGTGGAGGTTAGACACCTACAGCCATGAAAATGAGGACAACATTCTTTGAGATGTAAAAGCAGCATTCTGGGAAATGGAGGAACCAAAAGGCTGAAGGAACCAGGCACTCTGAGAGTTGCAGAGCCACCTTTTCAGACATAGACTACTCAAACTAGACAGCTTCCTGAAAAAAAATGTCACATTGGAGCCACCATATTTTTTTTTCTCAAAGCAGTTTAATCTGTACTCTAATGAAGGACAAGCATAAATTTCTTTGTTTTTGAAAACAAACCTTAGTCTGAGTCTTATTTCTCAAATAATGCAAGTCTTATTCATTTATTTGTTGTTTTGAAACTTGACACTTAACTTACCTGGAATGAAATACAGCAAGGCAAGTTTCTGGGGTTTTCCTTTTATGGTTTTCTCTTCCTGCCTCCTTACATTGCTAAGAAAACCAACACATTCATTGTTACTTTGCAGGACATTTTTAAGGCTCAGATATCCTCAAATTAGTCATTTTCAAATTTCCTTGTCCATTCACAAGTATTTACTTTTTAAGTTCTTTCATAGTTTCTTACCACTTCTGGGAGGAAAAAATCCCAAATAAACACAAGTTTTGAGTGTTGTAACCTTAAAAAGTAAATTGAAATGGTATTGAATCATCATTCTGTAGTCTTCCCTTTCAGGAGCACAGTATGTATTTCTTCAAGCCTTTTTAAATGCATCTCTGAAAAGTTTTGGAGTTTCTTTTTTTAAAAGTTCTGCATGCTTATTGCTATTAATTTATAGAAATGGTATTATTTTGTTGGTATTATAAATAGTAAAGTTGCCATGAAGATGCCACAGTGAAACTCATTATTCCATATAATTAATATTTATTAATAAAAATGACCAAGTAAATGAATAGAAAATATTTTCTCTGATTAATGCTGGTATATAATAAAACATGGTCTCTCATCACTTGTTAGTTGTGTGGTTTTGGGTAATTACTTAACCATTCTTACTATGAATGTGTAACAAAATTAGAAAAATATATATAATGCCAATCTAAGCATATTTTAATGGAAAATAAATATGATAATACATATAATCTACTAAGCTTAGGACCTGCATAGAGTGAATGGTAAAATATATAAACCATTATTACTTCCAATATTGTACTCTACACTTGTCAGACCAAAAGCCTGAGCACTGCTGTCCACATATTGTAAAATGTCCTGATAGCCAAGCCTCAGTGCAGTCCAGCCTATCCTGGAAAGGGGTGAGAGCCATTGTTTCTGCTCATAGAAAGGGAAAGGAGTACAGTACTTCCTGTTTTCTCACCCCAAATCTCTGCTCCCCTCTTCCACTCACAGCAGGAATCTTAATACAAAAAGAGCAGTTTATTCTGATTCCAGAAAGGTAGGGCCAGACCAGATGTCCTGAATAACTGTACCCAACACATTCAGTTTAAGTGTACAGCTGAGGCTCAGAGAGAAACAGATTCTTCAGGGGCCACCCAAAATTGGGAGGCTAAGCTGGGGAGAGCTGTCAGTTCACCTGACTCCTGAGCATGTTTATGCTGTTTCCGTTCCATCCAGAAGCTTCTTGGTACGAGAATGAGACAAGCTTTTAGATGAAGGTTGTGGTACAATGGGTATCTTGTGGTGAGCATAGCTGTACGTAGCAAAGTTGTTTTTAGCACATTCATAGAAGTTTTAATTTGATGACAAACCATATGATTTAGTTGAGCCATGAAATTTTTCATTTTTGTTTAATATACCCCCATATCTGCACTTCTAGTCCCCAGCTTATAGTATATCTATGGAAATATTGTTCACACTACTTGTTTACACTAAGGTATCAAGAACTTAGTGTGTTTTGCCTCCTCATTCACATTTTGCTTAACAAAGAAGTGAATCTCTGAAATTCTTGCATGGATTTCCTAGCACCTGTAATGCTATTCCTTGTTTGTCCTCTGGGAAGGATATAGATACCTGGGAATATTAAAGAAAAGTAAGAAGGTAGTTGTATGTATAGCTCCAAGGTTGGATGGACATGGTATAGGACTGAAAGTAGTCAGGTCAAGACTTACCAGTGGAGTGGAAATGAAAGGACATGCCTGTAATTTATGTAATGTGCTTTGTTTTGTTGTTTCTGTGTGTGTGGCTCCTGTTCCTAGGCCAAAGGGGAGCTTTGCTAATTAACATTGCCTACTCAAGTGCACACTGTGGTACTTGGGCTGAATACTGGATTTCTAACATTAAGCCTTAGGAATGTGGCTCTTGTTCCTGGCCCTGTTCTGCTTCACAGCTAAGGAATTGTCTCTTGGGCCCTTTCCTCTTTCCATTAGACAGATCAGGTCTCATCCTTATCTACATCCATTTCCCCAGATCTTCCAGGAGTCCAGAAATCATAGCAGCCAGAAACAAATGGAGCAGAAGGGTGTTTTTTCTTTTTATTGGAAAGTAGAAGACAAAGGCAGTCCCAGGACTGGGCATTCAGAACAAGAGGATGAATGGGCACTGTGGCAAAGGGTGGTGCTACTAAGAGCTGGGACTAGAGAAAGGCCTGCATGCCTGGGCCCAGGACAGGTGCAGTGAGGAAAGGTTTTACCTGGTGGAAGGGAAGAGAATCAGAGATATGACTCAGCAGGTCAAAGCACTCAGGCCTAGTGCAGAGGTAAGGACATCCTCTCTGCACCTTGCTTATGGCCTGTGAGACCCCTCAGTCTCTCAGTCTGTCCAACAACTCCCCATTTCCTCTTTTCCATCACCCTGACATTACTCCCCACCACTCAACCCTCTTCTGTATTGGTAGGGGTCCCCTCTTCTTCCAGCCTGTGCTCACCTCACTCGGGGATCAAGCACTCCATCCCGCACATACCCAAACAGCACTTCATGGTCCCTGGGCACTCAACATCACTCCCACACTTATTGGGATAACTTGTATATGTGCATTGTGCCACAATGTCGGGGCAGGTGCCAGGTTTACTGAAACTTTGCCCTTTGAATGTTTCTTGGCCTTTAAATGCTTCTTGTTCTTCCATGTGATTTTGTCCTTTAAATTGCATGTGACTTTTCATAAGATCTTGATCTTTAATTAAAACTGTTTTTTCCATGGTATTTTGTCCTTTACTTTGCATATGATTTTTCACAGAACTTAGACCTTGTGCCGAAACTGCTTCTTTCATGGAATCTTGTCCTTTGATCTGCATGGGACCTTTGAGAGAACCTCGACCTCTTGAAGAACCCCGACCTTTGACAGAACCAGGAGCTTTAACTGTAACTGCTGCATCCTGGAAATCTTGTCCTTTGACCTGCATGCGACCTTTCACAGCACCCAGCCCTTTAATTGAAACTGCTTCTTCTAGAAGATCTTGTCCTTTAACCTGCATGTGACCTTTCACAGAACCAAGACCTTTGACTGAAACTGCTTCTCCCAGGGATTCTTGTCCTTTGATCTGTATGCCACCTTTCGCAGGCCTGAGATCTTTAATTGAAACTGCTTCATCCAGGAGATCTTGTCCTTTGACCTGCATTCCACCTTTCCCAGAACCCACACCTTTGACTGGAATTGCTTCTTGTTGAAGGTCTTGTCCTTTGACCTGCATGCCATCGTTCACAGGACTGAGACCTTTAACTGAAACTGCTTTGTTCAGGAGATCTTGTCCTTTGATCTGCATAAGGCCTTTCACAGGATCGAGACCTTTAACTGAAACTGCTTCTCCAATGAAATCTTGTCCTTTGAACTGCACGTGATCTTTCACAGAACCAAGACCTTTAATAGAAACTGCTTCTCCAATGAACTTTTGTCCTTTGACCCTCATTTGACCTTTAACAGAATCAAGACCTTCAACTGAAACTGCTTCTCCAATGAAATCTTGTCCTTTAACTTGCATATGATCTTTCACAGAACCAAGCCCTTTAACAGAAACTGCTTCTCCAATGAAATTTTGTCCTTTGACCCGCATTTGACCTTTCACAGAACCAGGACCTTTAAGGGAAACTGATTCTTGCATGAAATCTTGTCCTGTCACCCAAATGTGACCGATCATGGGATCTTTATGTTGACTTAAAAAGTCTCCCATGGGATCTTGCCCTGTGACCTGTATATGACCTTTCACAGAACTGACTGTTTTAACTGCAACTACTTCCATGAGATTTTGCCCTTTGACCTGCATTTGCCCTTTTACAGAACTGAGACCTTTAACTGCAATTGCTTCTCTCATGATGCCTTGTCCTTTGAGCTGCATAAGACCTTTCATAGGACTAGAACCTTTAACAGAAACTGCTTGTGGTATGAGATATTGTTTTTTGAGTCCCATGCCAACTTTCATGGGACCAAGACCTTGAAATGAAACTGCTTCTCCCAGGAGGTCTTGTCCTTGGACTTGTGTGCTACCTTTCATGGGACTGAGACCTTTAACTGAAACTGCTTCTCCCAGAAGGTCTTGTCCTTGGACCTGTGCTCCGCCTTTCACAGGATGGAGACCTTTAACTGAAACTGCTTCATCCAAGAGATCTTGTCCTTTCATCTGTAGGTGATCTTTCAAAGAACCTCTACCTTTCAGAGAACCCCGATCTTTCAGGTAACCTTGGCCTTTCACTGCACCAGCACCTTTAACTGAAGCTGTTTCTCCCAAGAGATCTTGTCCTTGGACCTGCATGTGACCTTTCACAGGACCTTTAACTGGAACTGCTTCTTCCACAAAATCTTGTCCGTCAACCCAGACTTGATGGATCATTGGATCTGTACGTTGAACTAACAATTCTTCTTGCAGGAGGTCTTGTCCTTGGACCTGTGCACCACCTTTCACAGGATGGAGGCCTTTAACTGAAACTGCTTCATCCAGGAGATCTTGTCCTTTCAT